CAGCAAGAGAAAAAAAAATGAGGCAAGAAAAGCGAAAAAAGAGGGGAGGAGAGAAAGCGAAAAGTAAAAGTCAAGACTGCTGTGTCACTTTTAAACCCAAAAACTGTCGAAATTTTGCTTTCTGCGCATGCTCGAGCTTCGCAAGCTGATATTTTGCATCTGGATCAGAAGGCCATCAAGTGTACGACCTGTAAACCGGTTTTGTGGTAAGTTTTAGCTCTTTATAGCACGACAGTGACAAGAAAACCACTCGACTAGCTTCAAAACGCGTTTTCCGGCAAAATCTCCAGGAGCGAATGGGTTAAAGGATGTCTCGCAGATATTCTTCTTTTGGCTTAAGCCTCGTTATTTTATGGTTTTCGGGCGAGCCGTCAGTCTTCACAGTGACTTCCAAAGGAAACATTCTAAAACGATTTTCAAGCACAATCAGCCGCTCGTTACTTGTTTCATTCTTCACCCAGAGAGCTAGACATCCGTAAGCAAAAAGTAGCATTACAGAAAGAATTCATGGCCTAATTATTGAAGGGAGGAGATCATGTACTTGCCGAGATTTAGAGCTCGAGGAATCCATTTTTCAATCGAGTTCAAATTCTTTCCTCTCAGACACACAGGACGACGGAACATCTGTGGAAAAAAGCCAAAAAAGTTTTATCCCGGGATCTACAACAGTATTCATTACCCGGTTTAGTTTAGTTTTGTTTATTAATTTGTTGTGAGTTAGCTCCTACTCTTCTGAATTGTTGATCTGATGAACTTCTTAAAATGAAATCAGTAGACAAATGTCACGAAAGTAAACTTTTACGGCGATGGAGTTGTCATACTGTCTGTACTGTACTCGTCAAAAACCAAATCAAAGTCTAGTAATCACGATCAACCATTCGGCTGTCGAAGAACATTCATGTAGCCAGCCCAGATTTCGATGAACAGGCGGTTTTTTGCGGGGGAGGGATGATGTCAGCTAGGATTATGGTTCGGACGAGTTACAAGGAGACAGAGGCACGAGAAGTGCTGATACCCAAAGAAACCTTACCTTCCCCCTCCCCTACTTCATCTTTTGGTGCCTTCTTTTCAAATTCATTAAAGATGGGCGACTGCAGGAAAAACTAAATACCCACTCCACGGCAGGCTAGGCGCCTCAAACGCGGGAAAAACACGAATGGCAAAACGGTTTTCGTTTGGTTTTACTTTTACGGCGCCGTCTGTGAGGTATTTGGTTATTTTTGCGTTTTATAGCCGTACTGCTAATATGGTTCCGGCTTGACTTTGTGGCTGACGTAAATAAAAAAACGGGCCTTTTATCATTAAAACAAATGGTCACATATGGGCTTTTTAAGAGTTTCATCAGATCAGTTTTGTTGGTCAGACTCTACTTTAACTTGGCAGGGAGGGGATAAAAGAAAGAGAAGAAGGCAAGAGGGGTGGGGGAATTATTCAAGGGAGGCGATTATTTTAAATATATCCGTCTGAAGAGGGCAATTAATCGAGACACAGCTATTATTCGAGGGAACACTGCGTTCATGATCACCATCACTTCCTTTTTCCAAAATGGAATACAAGGTAGGAAATCATCCTTCTCCAACAGTCTCTATCCAGGACAATGATTTAGGCTTCAGCCCTATCAGTGCGCTTGTAAAGATGGGTGGATAATTCTCCGCTGAGTGAAAGTCGTATGTGTCTACAAAATCTATTTTCTGTGAGACTGAACTTCAGTAAATGTTGGTTCCTCGCTGGCAGGTCCCATCAGATCATTGTTTCGCACCCTGCCCTGGTTAATGTGAACCGAAGTAATGTTATATGAGATGTAAGCCGCAGCGCCGAGATCTACCTCCCTTTAGCCTGCAAAGCGGACCTTTTTTCTTTTTCTTGCGCTCAACGCCCTCCTCGCCGTAGCCTCCGCACGCCTGAAACACGCCAACAATTAAGCCCGCTGCACACTCGTTGAACATCCCTTGCTCTTGTGAAACAAAAGTTGGGTTTTTGGCGTCCTGTTCGAGCATTCAAGTCAGAGACTGAGAAAATCAGAATTAATCGGATAAAAATACATATCAGATGTTACTATATAAAAAGACAAGAAACAAGGGCAAAAATACAGTTGTATACGTACAAGTTAACTAAGCCTTCTAAAATTTTTGAAATCTAATATTTGTACAGCTTGTCTATAGTTAAAAATTAATCTGTTAAAAAAAATCTTTTTTTTACACATTTAGGATTAATATTTAAGTCTCATTCCGGTTATATTTCTAAAACGCTCCGATGAATCTTTATACCTAGGATGCAAACTATGTAACGGATGGTCACAATATTTAAGCTCGTAAAAGAGGCAACTTGTAGTTCACTGATGTATAGCGACTCTTGTGACATTTTTTAAAAGTTTTACTAAGCGGCAAGGTCTGAAACTCTAGCAGCGTAAACTGAAAGGCCGTACACAATTTTAGGGAGCACAATCGCTTTAAAAAGAAGGTCCGTTTTGCCTTGTGCGTATCATTTCTTGCGCAGGCTTCCAATTATAATTTTACAATCTGAGCGAAGTCTCGCGCGCTGATTGGCCGAGAGCTATGGTTTGTGAGAGTATAGGCCATGGAAATGACTTAACATGTCACGCAGTACCGGTAGTTTAATTGAAAAAATAAGGTGTACAGGGACGGTGTAATCTTTATCAAGTGAAGAATGATCCTCGCAGTTGTGAACGCAATTTATGCAATTGCGTAAGAGAAGCCTGCAAAAAAATTTCAGGACTTCAACGGGATTTGAACCTGTGACCTCGCGATACCGGTACATGTTCTATAAACCAACTAAGCTATGAAGCCACTACTGTCGGTATCAGGCTAATTATAAGTTCATATGTTCCCGTGAAAGAGATAAAATGTGACAAATGTACATGTTTATTAGAAATGAATTGTAAGTTCACAAAAATCAGACTAAAATATTACTTTTCGAGTATTCCTTCCAAGGTTTATGGATAAATATGGCCAAGTGGAGATTGAGCCTAAATAGTTTAAAGTTGTTTCGCATTTTATTTCATTTTGCTTTTTTTTGAATTCATAGCTTTACTACGTTTTCTCTAGTCGACACAAAAAGACAAACAGGAACCTAAACAATTGTAAAAGAAAAAAAAGGTTTTGAAGGTACACTGTAGTTGACAAAAAGGAGAAAATGTAACCTTTCCTTTGATCCAAAATGTGTCTCTTTTTGCACCGCAATGACATATTAAAGCGATATCACATTAAAAGTTTAATAAGAATAAACTTGACAACCGTTTCTTAAACGTTAACGGGTTTGATTTTCATCTCAGCACGTTTAGCGGAGTAACTGTTACCCTTCCAGTGATACCACATCACACCTCCCCAATAGTTGGAGTGTGAGCCTTTATAATAGAAGCCGTTTAGAAACGCATTGTGACAGGCGTTGAACCACCAACCTCCCTTATAACGCTGGGAACAATAGCCTATACTACTGCTTAGATCATTGTCCTGATCTTTGGTGGAGAACGCCATACCATGATGATACGAAAATGAATCGCCGGCAGTTCCTACAAAGATAAATAAACAAAGGCAACATATTTTCAAAAAAGATGGGTGTTACTAAAGATACTTTCTTGTTTTGGGAAAATTAGAGATAATTTTAGAGTAAAAGTTAAAAATTGGTGCACTCAGTTTTCAAGGACGTTATTAAAACGGGCAACGGGCAACGGGCAACGAACACGAGGGTTAACGGAAAAATCGAAAATGGAAACAAAGCCTCTAGCTCATTACCCATTCCCTCTCTGGTCCACGTTAAAGTAACTCCCAAGTTTTACAAAATGCTGTGATTAGAAAAATGAATTAAAAACACAGCAAATTAATGAAGTGAGACAAAACAAACAAAAAATGATAATAAAGAATTAATGTAAAATGTAAACCCCTGTTTATAGTGAATGTGCACTTAGCTGATCTCCACGCTCACAAATAATGGATCGCAAACATATAATCACATCACATTACGCACCACATCACCTTACCTCGAATTTACAGTGTAGCTCTTGAAGCTAACATCTAAACAAAACGGGCGTAACATGGTTCAAAAACAGCAAATGGCAGAGGGCAATTCACAAAACATGGCCGAGACTGTCGAGAAAGCCCGGGGGGTACTCCCTAAAATGACCTAATGGCCTATAAAGGAGTACCTTTTCTAGGCTTCAGGTATATGAAAGGGTAGGGAGTTTACTCGTTAAAGTATACGAAAGGGTGGGAAATCTGCCATTTGGGTCTGTGAAATGGTCCAAAGGGCTAACAGAAGGGAGGTGAAAGAATGACCATTCGTCAAAAGAAGGTATACGGAAGGGGTACTTTTTTCGTAAAAAAATGGTTTATAGCCTGTGAACGGGCTCTCTGTATGGGGGAAGGGTGAAAAAAAACGCGAGGAAAGGGTTACCCTTTCCTTTCGCTCTCCTCGCGGGTTTACATTTAGCCTGTTCACAGGCTAAATAGTATATAAAAGGGTAAGGGCTTGGACTTCGAGCCGGAACCTCGCCGTACAAACATTTGTTGAGCAACCCTCCCCCCTCCCCGCTGAGCGACTCCAGATAATGAGGGGGACGCAAACCTGGGTTTCCCGAATTGCAAGGTGTCAAATGTGGGCCTAGCACTAACCTGCATACGTTCCAAGAGTTAGCCTGTATTTATTTCCTTCGTCAGCAACGCCAAACAAGTCGTACTCAGCGTAAGCTGTTTGTCCGTTAAAATCCTCGAGTTCCACCCGAAGCTTGCTTTGTTCTTTCGTCAGACGGTGAACCTTATCCATTCCAAGCCAAAATTCCCCGCTTAGACTCCCGAAGCCTTGTTTGTAGTCTTTCCAAACGCGATCGAAGTCAACTGAGCCGTCAAGTCTTTTCTGAAACACTGCCCAACCCCCACCTGCTGTTGTTTGGTCACAATACACATCAAAGGCACCGGTATTATCGGGGTCGACGCGGTAAACAGCACTTATTCGTTGACCTGCTTTGTAATAATCGGCACAGTTCTTGTAAACTGAAATTAAAGTAATGTTGGAAAATATGTTTAGGAGCACCAATGAACAACACGCTCTGCCTAGTAAATACTTTCCTAGCCTTAAAAGCTAACCTAGAATCGTAGGAATCCCAAACATCGCCTATGGGATTGGGAAACCGCAAATAATTCACCATAAAATAGCCATATCAAAAAATGTAGGTAGCAAAAATGTCACAGAAAATTGTCTGTACTTGAAGACGGGCCTTAATGTTAAACTTTTCCTCGAATTGTTTTTTAAACAGAGTTAATAGCGGAGCTCTGGCTAGCGAAGCGCCCCTGCAGAGCACCATGGGTCAGTAAATCTACCCATTCCGGAAAATTTGGTAATCACGTGACCGTACACCGCCCGCTGCCCGCCCGTCCGTCCGCACCACAGGGTAACCAATGTTCAATCTCACAATTTCTAGCTAGTTTGGGAACACAGGAAGACTGATATCGGACACATGTTGCACATCAATATTGTGATCAATTGACAGCTGTCAGAACAGGGTATCCGCTGACCAGTATCGCCTGACCGTATCTTTGGCTCAGGTGTCGACCTATCGAGGTCGAGTATCCGCTGACAAGTTACTAGTTTTCAAATGATTGCAGGCTCAAGTTTGATTTTTTTTAATTCATATGAAATATTTTGTGTTTTATATGTGCCGCACAATTAAAATTTTGATTTCAAACTGACCTCGGAAGCTAACATTCAGCCAGTTTTTACAGGCAGGGAAGACATGCCAGTTGCTTTTGACATTTCTCACCAAAGTCACGCGTCGGTCTACGTCCAATTTTTATGCTCTGATTGGTCAAAACTTGACAGGTGAGTACATGCGGAAAATATATGCAGCATCTTGAAACTTGTTTACTTTGACAGCTGAAGCTGACAGAGTTTTGTGTCAACTTGTGATGTTTTTAACTGTCTTTTTCCACTGAATTTACAAAATGAAATGAAATTCAGCTGCTATCAAGAGTCTTCTGTTATTCATGGCTAGTTTGTTTATTGGGTTTTTGGTTGAGAAATACGTCGCTCGTCAAAGTGGGAAGTCCGATTTCGGATGGCATCGCTTTCGTTTTTCACCTTGCTTGATGGCTAATAGGGTTGAAAAGTCTGAAGCGATTCTGGCCTTACTTGATAGTTTTCAGTGCATCTCGAATGGTAAGCCTGAATAATTATTTTATTTGATGTTTGTTTTTTATATCTAGTTTAATGAAGTCGAGCGTAGTTTATGGGGCTATTTAGTTTATGCACGTTTGTAAGATTTGAGACAATGATCTGACCGAGTATCAGGTTTGATTTTAAGCTTATAGAACTTTAAAAAGCCTTTAGACATTTTCTCACCGCAAATAGAAAGAAAACGTTCCAAAGAATATTTAGTTATAATTCTGGCCGTAAAAGAAAGCTTTAAGCGATTTTCTTGCTTCGAGTTCAACTTTTGAAAAAGCAAAAAAGCAAACACTGGGAAGCCGGCTTAAAACATAGACAAGGATTTTCGGAGACACTTTAATATTTGTCTTCGTGAATGAGAGTTGTTGTCTCTGTATATATTTCACCGAATTATTTTCCTTTTATTATTGATTGTTAGTAGTCTCTTTGCAATTTTAATCGCTGTGCCGTTTGTTTTCATTCGCTCATGAACATCGCTAGCAGGAGTAGTCAAAATACTACGCGTATCAAACGCTTTTGAAGATTACACATCGCCTAAAAACCATTAGATTAAAAATAAACATAATAATTCTTCATTATGTTGAAGCGTATAACTCTATTAATCTTGATTTAAACAGTGGACTTTGGCGCTTGTCAAAAGTGAGAACCGGCTAGCCGTACGTATAGGTGATTTTGGAAATTTTTTTATCGCTTCGCTAAAAGTCCACGCGTGCTTCGATCGTCCTGAATATTGAATGAGTGCAATTTGTATTGCAAAATTGTGAAATACTGCATTCTGTCCGAGGTCTGTATGATAAAAACAGCGCCTCCTGGTACTGTTTCACCTCAGATGTGATGTATAAAAAGTATGAAAGGTTGGTTCACACGTACCCAGACTTGTTGGCAAGATTTTGTAAAGTAAACATGTCGAACGCAAAAAATTCCGCCTGATTTGTTTTCCAGGCCTAATCTACATAGCCATTAAGGCTATGCTATTTTTTGGGTGTACATATAAGGCTATCAACTCGATCTAAGATTAAGTTCACTCTTAGCTGGGACTGTTTGCAAATTATAAGTCACTAAGCCTTTCCCTCAAAAGTCACATGAATTTGCTCTAAAGTTAACTGATTTGTGGAATACATGTACAAGTTTATTGTTTGATTTAAATTATAAATTCGAGTTAATAGGAGCTTTGCTTTTAGCCCTGGCTAAATCTATATATTACGACTGAGGCCAAGGCCAAACGTTGATATTATTATGAAAAGAACTAAGTTGTAATTTGGGCGTCGACCTAAATTAAGGTGGCTCCGTCAATAATAAAGGAGCATTGAGCTGTGACGAACTTTTCGTCATAGCCTTTTTCGTTTTTAATACGATATGGCTTCGAAACTTTGCAAAGAACAATAGATATGATTCAGCAATAATATGAAATATTCCGATTTCATTGTTGGTAAATATTTTTTTCAAAATTAGCGCTTAAAGGGACTGTGTCACGATAGTGCGCATGTGTGAGGTTTGACAGTAGCTGATTGTTTTTGAACCAATCGGGAGCGAGTAAGATGCACGCAGGGAAATATAGTACATTATTCAAGATTCATTGTTCGCAAAGCAGGAGTCGTTTTTGTCCTGCTTTTGCATTTACCTACGCGTATTTTCACGTAACCAAAAATAATTTGCAAACAAACCTTACTGATCTCTCTGTTTCCCCTATATAAACTTAGAAATACCTGCAAATAGCGCCTGGCCGGTGACCAAAACACGCAGTATCGGATGAGGCAAACGTTTTGCTTAAAATGCCAGCTAAATGCACACTATAATAAAATAGGCCATGCCATGCGGCCGGTTAGTCTGATGAGCACTCCGCATCATAAACGTTGTAGCTCATCGTAGCGGTGTTTGAAAGCAATTTTTAATAGCGATTCATCATAAAACGCTTTCATTGTAATAGCAGCCACATAACGTATAAATATAAAGATTATTCGAAAAGAACAACGCAAAAAAGAAATTGCTAAATTTTTTTACTGAAATTTCTGGTACCGGCTTTTAATGAGATAACAAGTATAGCAGGGAAATTTCAGAGAAATCGTTGGAGCAGAAGTCCGTAACTAAAAGTTGTTCGCAAAATTCAGCCTTGAAATTGTTTTGGAATTTCTAAAATAAATTCCTCTGAGGTAGAACGAGCTACCAGTTCGAGTTTTCCGGGATGAGTAATGTTTGTTTGCTTCAATATTCTTTAAAAAAAAAAACGATTGTTAATCGGGCTATTCTTTAAAAGGTACTTTCTGGTGTTGGAAGCACTATAAATTGCTCTAAACCTTGTCCTGAAGTCGCTTGACTTAGTCCTCGACATTTTTGGAATATCCCTTAGCAATTTTGGCTGAAACTTCTGCTACATACATTGTGATGTACATTGCAAATGCATCTTCAACGGCTCACTGCTGTACGATGCTTCCATTCACGTCACGTATTAAACCTGGTAGTTTGCGGTCATATCGAAGCCTAAAGGTTAACAGTGTTTGTTGATGAGCGAGCGATTATTGTGCAGTTGCGATGGGTTTTGTGGAGCAAGCGAGCAAGAAACCGGAGCACACGTTACCTGCAGATTAGCCGATGGCAATTTGGAGCGGATTCGTCGATTATTCTCGAATTTATAGCGCTTCGCGTGAAGGCGCGTGGAGATGGTCCGTTTGTTTTGTAGCCAGCTTTAATTCTTCTTTAGTGGATAGTACCTACAATTGCAAAACTCAACAAAATGCCACTTTCACCGGCCAGGAAAGACGAGGATACGATCAGTTAAAGGTATCTTAGCTTTGTTTTGTTATATTTTGACTTTTGGACTATTGTAGTTCATGGGAGTTTCGACGACTCATCGCATTAATTTTTGCATGTGAATATTAATATATTGACACAAACTACGGGCCGTCTGTGGCAAAACATGCATGGCTTCGATCACGCAACGATTCTTAGTCCCAGTTTCCACGGTCTCTGCAAGGAACGCTTGGCACAATGACCCCCCCCCCCCCCCCC